GGGGGGGGGGGGGGGGGGGGGGGGGTAAAAAGATTTTTAAAGGGCTTTAAAATCTTTCAAGAACCTTTAAGGTCCTGGCAAAAATTTCATCCATAAGACTTTTCACCAGGATCTTTGAAGATCTTGAGAAGATTCTCAATAAAATCCTAACAAAGACCCTCAAGGATCTTTGCAAATTGAAGATCCTTGAAAGATTTTCACTGGGGAAATGGCTGTTCTTGGAGAGGAACCCCCAAACATGGGCTTAAGATTATAGTAACAAGTATATTCCATTGTACCAACTATTTTATGCTTGAGGTCTGTAATATCACTGCTGCGATTATAAAATGATTTAATAATTTTATACGTAACTGGAAGCAGAACCCCAGTATTTATTTCTCTAAAGTAATCAAATTACAGTCACAACAATGTTAAAATGTTCACTTGATTTCAGCTCTCTTACTGTGGTAAATGAAAATGTCCATGAACATTTTTAAGAAAGGTACCTCAATTTTAATATTTCTGCGTGGTACTTCTGCTCCAGCGGTCCAAAGTCATTATGTAAATCTTTATACAGTTCCATCTCCCACTTTAGAAACACAAAATAAAGTGAATGTTTTTAAATTCAATTTCAGCTATTTATATCACCATCCAGCCTCTGGTCTTGTTTTTGCACTAGTGAGTATCAAGTATAGGCCTTCCTGACATCACATATCTGAGCAAACTAAGATTTCCTGGATTTCCCAGCAGTCACCCCAAAACGCAGACCGTGCAGACCGTGCAGACCATGCAGACGGAGTACATTTTTTCTAACACTTGACTCACATTTTTTGCTTATAGTAACAAAATAGTGTTCAGTATGTCCTAATGTTTGTTATTTATCCACAGGTGGCACAAACTCAACATCTGACTGTTGATTCATGCGTGTAATAGACTTTCTATGGGAAATTTCCTTTACTGGTCCTAAATATAGTATAATCAAGCATAAAAATAAACTTACACACATTCTGGGCACATGTGGATAACAAACACTCCAATAAATAATTCAAGAGAACCAAAAAATAGGTGAGTCAAAAGTATATGAAAAAATCAATAATAAGAAAAAAAAGTACTCAGTCTGCTCAGTCTGCACGGTCTGCACGGTCTGCGGTCTGCATGGTCTGCGTTTTGGGGTGACCGATTTCCCAGCCCTAAACTAAAAACAGTTCACCACTATTGTCCCCTGTTGTTTACTACAATGCTCCCAGTGGCCTGTTCCAGGCTCTCAGTCAGTGGGGATGATAAAAAAAGGGGGCGGGCAACAAGTGGGATCAGTGATGAGCAGGATCCAGGAGAGAAAAGGACAGGGTGGGAGAGCCTGGATGCATTGTTTTAAAGGCCTCATTACCTCTCCTTTTTCCCCCAGACCCCACTTGTCGCCCACCTGCTTTTTCAATCGTCCCCACTGACTGAGAGCCTGGAACAGCAATGCTCCCAGTTGATTAACATTTCTTATTCTGATGGCAAAATTTGATTTGTGATTTCCAGTGTCAGAAAGCAAAGCTCAACAGGTCACAGTTCCAGTGTCTTCAAATTCAGAAGTACATATGTATGATAATATCAAAATCTGAGCAGCGTGTGCTGATAATTTAACTTAATTACACTGCATTATTTCACTAAATCATGTTGGTTTACCTCAGAGAACATCTTTTGCTGCCAATAAAACACGCATTCCTCTGAATCTTGGTCTTGTTTGCCATGGTCTGTTTGTGAAAACAGAAAAATAAATTAAATATATTAAGCTCATTCATGAACTATGTAGCTGATGACCACCATTGAACCAATGGCTTACCACGTCTTAACTCTGGCATTTCCATTGCTTCACCAGCGACTTCAGCTCCTTCTTGAGCATTGACATTTTGTTGTGAGCCGAATTTAAACTCTGGAAGATAGCTCGCTGCTGTTACTCGCCGTAGGTTTACCCTGGTGAAGTGACACGAAATCTCAAGCAAGTGCGACAACTGAGTATAAACAGTACAAACTGACTGGCTTGAATTTTTTTATATATATCTTACACGTATAAAAATGAATTTGTAAGCGTTATGTTGAAAATAAATGGCGTTCTTACTTGACAACGAAATTCTTTGGGGGATCTAACGATCGATAATAGCCAACTCCGACATCCTCCATGAAATCCGCCATCTTTGATTGTTGACTGGTGCCCAGGCTTTTCGCGTCGGTTTTGTTACCTTGGTTACAACTCTCTCAAAGAGTTTCCACTGCGGAACGCCGTTACACTGTAATCCGGTCACCAACGGGCCACAAAAATCTGGCCGCACAAACGAGGTGGTCGTTTTAACGGGTTGCACTGTAATCCCCCTCACAGTGAGAGCAAAAACGAGCAAGTTGTCATACTTCGATGGAAATTTATAGAAAAGTAGTGTAAATGTTTGCACACATCCCCCTAGATACTATACTGTGTGCCAGAACTGGGTAAAATATGTTGATTTTCTCACACTTCCGTAACATGTCAGGGGGAAAAAACATTTTTTTTCAACCAGACGAAAAGGGTATCAAAACAACTTCACTACAGCTAGCCTAAATACCATTGATTCAACAGTGTTAGCAGTCAATGATTGTAAGGGTTACTCTAACACTGTTCAGTCAGGCTAACCATAGTACCATTCAGGCTAACCACCATACGTGTTCATCTGCTATTCATATTGTTTGGGTAGGGGATGGTGAAGGGTGGTGGAAGGTAGTATAATTACATAATAGGATACTGGATGAAAAAAATCTGGGGACTACCAAGATTGGACAGGGCTTCAGGCCGAGTCCAACTAGTCAGAGGAATTTTTTTAATTTGATTGTTCATTTAGTCATATAGCACACTGCCTGATATTATCCGTTAATTTTAATAGCTCCCACAAGCTCAAAATACCACAGAGTTACTCCACAACAATTTGGTCAACAGGCTTGAAATAACCCGTCATGGAATAAGCCCACACATTCTACTTGCATTGCTGCTCTTGAATGGTTAGCCAGACTGCCGCTCATCCCTTCCCTACTCTAATGGATCAACTAGAAAGACAAGAAACCACAAATCCAAATGCAAGTTTAATTGCTAAGTGCACATATTGCCAAAATGATAACAACACTCAAAATATCTATATTACATTGTGGCATGTTTCAACACTGTTAAAGCAAATGTCAAGTTCAAATATTGTTTGACACTAAAAATTGGCTTACAGCAAATGATTTGAAAAAACACTGCAATAACTCCTGATAATTACAACCTGGTAAGGAGAATAGCAGCCACACAAATCAATGTCAATTAGGACTCCGTTAACATAGGATCTTACTTATGACAAAAAAGTTATTCACACCCATATCTTGCATATGTTGATCATGATACAAGTCTATCATCAGAAACTGTTATGTTCAAACTCTGGGCCAAAATTTGACTCTTTAAATTATCAAGTCACAGGAAAAAATAATATCGCAAAACTGTGTACACCAAAATACGTTTTCTTAATAATATATTATTCAAATATCTCTTTTATTGAGCATTTGGCCATTATAACAGTGCGAAAAGGTCAACAATGTTATATTTTAAGGTGCAGCAAGACTATATCAGCCAAGTGATTACTGGCATATTCTGAAGAACAAGTGCTCTGATTCAAATCACTTTGCAGAAGCAAGAATCTCCATGAACTCAGAACCAGTGTTGAAGGGATTTTTCTGATCCATTGAAACATGACATGGCAAATGCACATCCAAGCCAATCTTCTCCAAAACCTTCTTTAACATGGGCCTAAAAAGAGAACCAGAAGCAGAACAATAACTTTGTATTTCCATGATTTCTCAGCATCTAAAATAATATTCTTCCAATAGTAACATCACAGTGCCAACCAGACAAAGGAAATCATTCTTAATGGGCTGTTTAATTGCAGAAAGACCTGTGTCTTACCAACAGCTGTGAGCAATAGTGTAGTACTTCAGTGGCTTGTTAAACCCATTGAAAGTAGAGGCTGCTGAACACGTATAGGCTCCCATGTTCCTGAAGTACAACCACTCCCCGACATCAACCTGATTATGAAAAAAAAAAAATTTGAAACCATTGATTTTACCAATAAACCAAACCACCAAAGGACACCTTCTATTTGCTGTCCATTCTGATGAGAAACATAAATATTGCACATCATTACATGGCTTGTTCTCGTAGCTGATGTAACACGCACTCTGATTGGCTAATTGTTGCGCATTATCCACCCATAATGTCCATGGGCCAACTTATAAACCTCAAACGCTTGGTCTTTACAGGAAAATCTCAAACCTCGGCCTTGCCATATTGACCTCTATTGCTTGGTCAATACAGCAAGGTCTCGGTCTGAGATTTCCCTGCAAAGACCTCACTCCCGGTTAATAAGTAGTTATAATTATTATATGGCAAGGCAGCAGTATTAGTTCCATGTAAAGCAGGACTCGAAATTGCAACCAATACAGTTGCATTTGCGACTTCACTTTACTTATTTGTTGCAAATTTGCGACTAGGTTTTGCCTTGAATGACACAAATTAAAAGGGTTAGCTGTAGTCTCCAAGGAAAAAGAACATTACTTGTGGATGAAAGACACAATTTATTCTAATAGAAATAATAAAACAAACCCACGGTTCTTTGATCGCCAACTGGATTGCCATGTTTTATTATTCTAAGGCACACTAAAGTAAACGACTCTCTCTCTCTCAAAAACTTCAAAATGGCTACCTCTGTTCGAAATCACCCTATGCATCGCAAACCCTTGACCACTGAGTGCGCCATGTATGTCCATGGATTGTGTCCTTTTTATTTGATTTTGCAACTACAAATTTACATTTAGTGACTATTTTTTACCACTTAGTTGCCAAATGGCCACTTAGGGATTTTGTTAATTTCAAGCCCTGTAAAGTGATACCACGTGTCCTTAGATTTACAAAATTAGACAACAAATAGAAGATTTTGGCGACCAAATTTATCTTAGTGGCAACCATTTTACAGAACATCACCAAAAGGTGATTTCTGAAAAACTTGAGCTTGGGGCCCTGCTGTTGAATATGTATAAAACTGGAACATACCTTGGGTAACAGTACATTCTTGGTAATACAATCTAGGGAATCACATGTAGGACCCCAAATGCTTGATGGAAATTTCTCAGCTTTTTCATCAGTACCAAAAACTTCTGGAGTCACAGTAGCATGGTCAAACACCAAGCAGTTAAATGAACCATACACTCCATCATTGACATAATACATGAAACCCTGACAAAATGGACACAAATTGCAAATGAATAGTGTACAAATCAAAGCAATTTCTCAAACACATGAATAATTCATCAAGTTTGAACAAAGGAAGTCATGACCGTGACAGTGTTTGGATATCTGATCCTAATTAGCATAGATTTTGATAATTTTATTTCTCCATTTTCTCCTTAGTTTTAGTTTCGATTGAGAAGATATATCAAACACCCAAGACAGTGTTTGAGCACATTTCCAAACACCTCGAAGTTCAAAAAAAATACTCCACTGCACGTCGTATTTTCAACTCTCTTGTTGGTGTTTGGAAATGGGGTCAAGCACAGTCTTTCGTGTTTGATATATTACATCTTACACTTCTCTAAAGCAACAAAGGTGTGTTTCATAAAATTACAAAAAGCATAGAGCATACAAAGTTTTTTTCCTGGCTACAACTCACCTGTTTGTCAGAGTCCTTATGGCCAGCAGCTTTGACAGACTTGTCATCTTGTTTAAATTGACTCCCCTTCACAGTGCGGCGTGCAAGAACATTTACAACAAGGGTAAAGGCAGAGGCAGAATAGTAACGACCTGGTTCTGCTATGATACGAACACCTGAACTTGCTGGGAAGTGTTCTTCCAGTAATGGGTTCAGGATGCCACAAACCTGGGAACATAAAACATAATTAATTTTGTTGTAAATATCTTTCTTTTAATGGAATGTTGATGTCTGGCACACTTCAATCATTCCACCATCATCATCAGGGCTGTCATTAAGTGCCATAACCAGTACCACCTGCTATGGCTGAGTATGCTTGATTTTCCCTTGGTGCTATGGGTGAAATTGCCTGTTGTTGATAGAGTTCATCCACAAAGTAACAAGTTTGCTATGGTGTGGAGAAGAAGGCTACAGGTGACTCAAAGCTTAATGACAGCCCTGATCATATGTGTACTCTACTCTGCTAACAAAAGGAATAAAAAGAATGGAATTTACCACATAACTCGACAGACAAACACCCATTCCAAATCTTCAATGACATCTTGTGCTTTGAGACATGATCTGACACCTTAACTACATCAAAGTACATTGAAGTACATGCAGCAGTTGACGACATAAATCAACACTTCAGTATGTTAAATTCTTTGTACATTTTATCCGCACATATTTTTTCTGTATTTATGTATAAATGAAACTTCTCATAATTGTGATTTATGCTTCATAACTAACCTCTTCAAATGTTATAGCAGCATCTGGTGCTCCAGGAAAACCACCACCAATGTCTAACAAGGTGAAGTTATATCCTATGTGAGCCTGAAATTTGAAAAAATAGTGACAGCATTAAGCAACTGGTACACCTGTTTTCCAGAATTGACATATTTAACCTTGGTCTGGATAACATTTCAAATTTAGAAAACAGTCCAAAGAAAATATGTGCAGTGATTGATTAAAAAGCATGCTTATATGACTTGATAGAATCACAGAACTAGTAGAAGCTGTTGACGTAATGATGGTGCAAGCAAAGAGAATTTACATTTTGATGATCAAAGTAAACAAGCTGTTTTCTTTTTCATTGCAGAATTTCCCAAAAGAAATAGAAAACATGTTCTCTGTTTTTCTATTGAGTTCTATAAACACTCGTAACAGTTTCGGAGAACTTGAAAAAGCTGTGGAAACACTCCCCCGTAGGTTCCTGTTCCCACAGCACTTCTCATTCTCCCAAACTTCCACTCATGTTTCTATAGCTCAATAGAAACACAGTAATAGAAACGCAGTACATGTTTTCTGTTTCTTAATAAATACAATCTTTTCCTGTCAAAAGCAACCTTTCCTTGTCATTATTCTTAAGTGTAAAATCTCACAGCACAGGCCAGAGGAGGGGCAAAAGAATACTAGTACCAAAAAATGCCATGTAACTTCACTTACCCCAAGGTCAAACACACTTCGAGCAGCTGAGACAGCAGTTCCAAAAGCACTTGCATCATAGCATCCACTGCCAACATGAAAGCTATGTAGAAGAAAAGAAATTTTATTCCACTGTGCTGGTAGTAGAAGATACACTTTTTAAAACACATGAACCGGCTCAGAGAGTACATGTAACAGACTCATCATGATATGTGTAACACACTAAGAGAGGGCAAGTTGTTATCATCACAGCCATCATCAACACAACAAAACAAGTTAAAAAAACAAAAGTATACCTCACTCCAATCACATTCAATTTCAGATCATGGGCAACCTTGAGAAGGTGGCGGCATTGTTTCAGGGGTGCTCCATACTTGATTCCTAGCTGTTTGAAACAGAAATAAAATTATTACATACTGTTTATTATATACCCAAGTACAGTGTGAGGTGGTAGATGGCAGGTAAGGCCTTCATTCATAGCCTTGATGCCATAGTTACTATCATAGTTAACTTATACCCACTATCACGTCATGTCATACAACAATCACAAAAATGCACATACCTGGCAGAGTGACTTGGAATCATCAGTTCGGATGCGGAGAAGCAACCTAGAAGAAGTCAATAACATATTTGAAACACATTAACATTAACAATTTCAAGACAGAATAATCCCAAAAATTGTTGATTTCAAACTTTATTTCCATGACTGTTACCTGGCAGTTGGGTACAACTCTTTGATCTTGTGTAATTCCATTTCATTATCAAAAGTCATTAAAGAAATTCCATGTTTTGCAGAGAACCTAAAACAATATAACATTGCTAATGAAATAATAGTTTGATGTTTTTCTTTACATATATGTTGAATCAAAATCACTAAAAAAATGTTTATTCTAGCAATGAAATATGAGTTATGTTTAAAATAAAAATATTCACAGGTAAAAAGACCCGGCAGGCTCAAAAATTGGTTTTCTTTGCACCTTGTACTATGTTTTTGTTCCATTTGCTAAATTTGTTTGTTTATTTACAGTATCCACAACAGTACCACATACATTGAAACTTTGATTGGTCATCTCATTTTAAATTCCATTACAGTGCAAACTCTCAATTTTTCAAACTTGCAGGTAACTCCAACCAAAAGTCATTTCCCTCCTCTTAGTCGGACACTGCAGTTTTACCCCCGATTTCTCAAACTGCTCAATTTTTCAAACTAATTCCTCTTACCCTCAGAGGTTCAAAAAATTGGGATTCCACTGTAGACAGGGTTGTAGCTAACAAAATAGTCTCCCAGCTAAGATTTTCATTGAGCTGGTCACCATTTTTCACTAGGGACCTGGAACAAAAAGTTTGTCCACAATCTTTTGCAACATCTTGAATGCAGCTGCCAAGCTTCATGTTTACAAGAAGGGAGATGCAGTACCGTATTTACCCGTGTATAAGTCGAGCCCCAATTTTTGAGGCCAAAACCTAGATTTTCTTAATTTCCAGGAATTTCTTGGTAAACTTATCTTAGAAAACTTATTTCTTAGAATTATCTTTCAGCTACCAAACTATGTAAACAAATCACAGCAAGTTTCAACGCACAGTTTTAATAAGCTTATTACAGCACGTATACAAGCGTTTTACCAAGTTTAGAAACACATGTGCATGAGGGCTTTTTGACGATAATATTTGTCAAATGTTCACAAAATCAAACATAAGGATTTTAAAAGAACCTTTTTAAGTGCGAAGAGATTAAAAGTGGCTTTATAAGACAGGCAAAACACCAAACAAGCTCAAGACTTTCAAACGACCCCATAAAAAAAGTGCAAAGTGTGCGTTGGGAACTTGGTAGCCAAGCCTTGAAATCGGTCGAGTACTGGTACAGAAGTCCTCACGCTCATATCCTGCCAGGTTACTAAGCAGAAAAGTTCGAAGCACGAAAGATGTTTTCTCCAAGCGGCTTTACTACAGCTTTATTTACAGGAAAAATATTGGTTCTTTATGACAAAATTGAGCCAATGAGTGTCTACAAGATTCAGGTTAACATTTAGCAGATAAATGTTGATGCATTTTAACTTGAAGCTCTGATATAGAGAAACAGATCACCAAGCGAACATACGTTGTAAATTGTGCTGCCGCTTATTACATGTTTGTTAACACTGAAAGACAATTATTATGCTAATTATTTGACTGGCGCTTGGATCTCAAGTTTTGACCCATGTATAAGTTGAGGGCGAATTTTTGGACTGATTT